ACTTGCCCAATTGTGTTTGCTTACCAGGTCTTGCTTAGACTAGCGGTTCTCGGCTTTTGGTAAGCATGGAGATCACACTCCTCCTCTCTGTGCTTCTGACGGCTCCCTGAGGCTCTGTCTCACCCCACCTGCAGAACCTTGACCTTGCTTTCCTCAAGAGCCTCTATACTGTTTGAAACTAACCTACTCTCTGTATCCTAATCCCATCCCATCACAAGCTACCGTTCCACTTTCTCTGCTATTGCACTCTGTACAGGCACTCATTCATGACAGCTCATCAATATGCCACTCCATGTTTCAAAATATGAGAGAATAAGAAAACACTTGGGCTTGTTGTTCTTTCCCCCAGAGCTTCCTAAGGACACCCCTGTTTGCTGTAATCAAAAGGGAACTCAGTTGCTGGCCTGCAGACTAAAGCTTTGGGAAGAGGCAGGACTTCCCATGCAAGGTCATGGGTAGGTTTAAAGCACAATTCCAAGACATTACCAACCTAAGAAAATCACCCTGCAGGCCAAACTGCCAGCTGACAGATCCAACAGGCTCACTGACACCTGATATTAAAAAAAAAAAAATGAATCCATGGGACAAACCTTGGGCTCCTTGGGGGCATGTAGTAGACTAAGGAGTATGGGAAGAAACTGGTCAAAGCAAGTCTGTGGCCTGAGCTTCAGGTAGTCAGGGGACATTAGCTGCAAGTAATTTCCTGATTTTTCTAAATCCTCATGAATGGTAGTCATTTGGCAAATTAAATCCTGCAGGTGTTTACAGAATAAAGCATAGGTAGGTCATTCACAAGATGAAGAGAATAATTGTTACATAATTTTTATTTACTGCCAGATTCTTCCATTATATCCAAAACTGATAAATCTTTCCAAGGATATATACAAGTTTGATAAAGAGACAAATTATCTATGTCTAAATGAAATAGAATTCCAAAGAACTTGATGCATGCTCCTTAGAACTGAGTTTGTCCTTAAGAGGTCACTTCCACGTACCCAGGGCCACAGCTTGAAAGCAAAAGAAAATGCTTATTCTCCACCAGTCCCCTTCTTGAAAAGATGTTACTATAATAACTGTTGAGATATCTTCATGGCATCATTCACAAATTCTTTTTCTGTTTGTATCTTTTCTATTTTTAAAGCATCCTTATCCTTATTTCTTATCCACACAGGTATCTTCCCACTGTGGGCCTGCTGGAGAACAGTGGCATTTTGACACGGACCAAGTATTTCTATCTCTTACATCAAATGATAGGGGGAAAAAACCTAAATCAAAAAAGCAAAACTTTGGTGCTCTTAGAAATGTTTGGTTTTACTAAATTATCAATGCTACCAATTGAGAACACTTGAGATCTGATCAAAGAAAACCACCCTTTCTTTACAGTGCCTGTGTTGGCAGTCTATCTGGAGTTTCAACTTCCTGCTTGGTTTGGAGTATTAGATTAGACAGTGGGATATTTTCCCATACAAAAAGAAAAAGATCAAATATAGACTTTTCGAAAATGACTACAATTTGTGGTCTTGTTTGTTGCTCTTTTTTAGGGGGTCATGATTACAAAGCATTATTCCCTTAGGAAAGAATATGTTTAAGTGTCTTTCATTGGGCAAAATAAAGCCAGTATTAGCAAGTTGAACTAAATGTTTCTGCATCTCTTGTAAAACGCTAAAGAATCCACAACTCTCCAAGTCCTAGGTGTTTTCAAGGCCTTTCCATTGTAGCCTCAAAAGGGGGCTGGGAAAAGAGTCCATTATTAGCCCCTGAAAAGCCCCCAGTGTTTCAAACAATGAGTCTGACATCGCATTGTTCATCTAATGCCCTTAGACTACCTAGTCATTTTTCTTACCAACTGCTAACAACAACAACAACAACAAAAAAATAAGCCAGCAATTGGACCTTCTGGGGATAAGGATCCTACAAAATATATTATGAATTAACACTCCATGCTTCTCAGAGTCAACATCCTGAAATGTGTAAACTAATAGTTAGATTCTGTAAGTGAATACAGCTGTGACTCGCAGGCCTCTCCCAGCCACATTTAGTGGAAGTATTCTGAAGAAATGCTACATCCTAGTAGCCATCCACACAACTGTTTGGATAACACTGTAGATTTGGTTTTAAAATATAACCTGCATGCCATCACCCATTAATGTGACTTCAATCTATCCCACTTTATTTCATAGATCCCGGGTTTGTGAGCGAGGAAGGTGACATTTTTCAGCCTACCTCATTAAACAGACATAGAGCCCCAACCACAAAGGAAGGTTGAGAGGCAAAGGAAATCTAATAGAGCCTGTTTTCAGTGAGACTTCATATTGAGAGGTGGGCGCTTTTTTCTCCTGTTTTTAGCAGCAAACCAATTCCTGCATTTGTGTGGAGGAAAGCACAGGGACCACAAGCACAGCTGTTCAATTTATATTCACAAATGCAGGTGTTGGTCAGGCACAAAGCAGAGGTCAGCTGAAGACTGCTCCTAATTAGCTACCTTTTCTACTAGGACTTTCCTTTGTAAAGTTATTCATGCAATTCGAGTTCAACTCCGAGACCATTTATAGATCCCAGCATGCTATCCAGCAAGAAACAGCCTGTTATTATAAAGCATGATTTACAGCCTAGTTAATTTTCCATGTTTTTGTCTTAAATCTGCACTGTACCTCAGACAAAATTCTATTCTGTACACACATGACTCATTCTGTTTTCTATTCGCTGCTCCATATTTAAAACTGTACAATTCAGGCAGGAAAATTTACTCAGGGATGGAAGGAATTCTGCCCTTTTTCTAGGATTAACTCCACAATTCTTACAAGGAGGACTAAGGGCTTTGTTCAAAGATACAAGAAAGAAGTAACTACCCGCTATTGTCTGCAGTAGAAAACATCCTGAGGCTTGTTACAGCAGTTCTTAGAAATGGCAGGATGGAGACTGGTATCTAATAAAATGCACTAGGAAACCCAAGCCCTCCATGAATGACCGCAATGTCCTATCAGTTAACAGAAATGCAGCAGCTGTACATGTTTATGGTAATACAATATAATATTATCACAAAGATAACACTCTTAAAATAAAGAATTCAGCAGGTCATGAATTTCTCTATTTTAAAAAAAAATGTAGTGTAGCATGGCACAAGTATAGAATTTGTAAATAAGGATGTAGATGGCAGAGAAGAAAGGGATTGTATGTGCACTAATAAACTCCTGAGATGAGCTAGCAAAGTTAGTGCCAAGCACCATACCATTACAACTCCCAGTTGTTGCACAATGTTCAAAGATCTACACCAACTGCTCCTGGGAGAAGGTAAATATACTATTCCCCCTCCAATTGCTGAATTTACCAAAGGCTAATTCTTATCTTGACTTCTGGTTATCTGTTCTTACAAAATCTAGGATTTTAGAAGTCTCAAAGCACTTTGACATAAAATTTTATAGGGATGCAAATATGTATTCTGGACTATTTATCCAAGGGGAATCAGGTGCTGTTCTCCACAAGCACGCTATGAAGTAAATTTGCCCTGCCAGTGTAACCTGTGTCACCAGGTCTGTGACAAATCCATCTTGCATGATTTTTTTCACTATTAAGCAGAGTCCATCAAGATTCAGACCCATAACCCTTCAGAATTGTAGAAAGACAAAAAGGCCTGTTCTATAGCCATTTTCTGGGATGGAATGCCAAGCATTTTGTTGTGGTAAGTAGGGCTTTGAAGAAGAGCAAGCTAGGCCCACTCCTGGGATTGTTACCCCAAGTGCTGGACATTCAAAACAGGAGCCCCAGGGTCTTGGAGATCATTTTAATCCCTGTATATTAAAACAAAATGTGTCTCCCATGTGTCATTTTTCCAACCTCCTCCCCAGCCTCCCCAGCTGCCCCAGCCCCTCCCAAGGGCAAGTGAACTCCACTGTTGACTGTCCCAAAAGAATTCCAAACAATTGGCTTACTTGCCTCTGTTCCAGTGAAGATTATGAGCCTAATTCTTAGAGACTGTTACTATAACTCCATCCCCACTGAATTCTGCAGCCCAATTCTCTTTTGGCAGAATAAATGTGACCTAAATTTGCAAGGGAGAATTTGTTGCAACAGTAATTCTTGCAATGCAGGGAGCCTGTGATTAGCATTTCAGAATTGCAAATACGTTTTTTTTAATCACTGTTTCAAGATAGGGCAAATTTTCATACTGTATTTTGGAAAAGCTTAGCAAACTAAGGATGACTTTTAGGAATTAAGAAAGCTTTCCAGATCCATAGCAAATAATAAGAGAACTAGCAGTTGACCTCAAGCTCTAAAGATGAAGAAATCAGTTGTGCGTGTATGTGTACGTGTGATTACAAAATCACCACGCATGCCATTCCCATCCATGGCAGCTACTACTGTTCTAAACAGACATATTCAGATCCAGGGTGTCTCATAAGAAACAGAAACACACTATAACTATGGCTGTTCCTGTGTTTACCCATCACGCTTCTCACAAATGCTTGGCTGTGTGAGCAATGCTGCTTCGTGTACTCGTTTCACCTTTTCTCCATATCAGTCAACTTTCCCACAAGGTCTCCAGACAGCTTGGACGTTTCTCTTGACTAGCACGTGTGGGTCAGATTTTGAAAAGAGCAACAACAATCACCCTCACTGGGGAGACAAACTGAGTGGACTAGAGCTTTCTGGCCATGCTTCTGTGGCTAGTTTCTTGGCTCTCTAAGAAAACTCCAGCCCTTCGTGCCCTCCTGCTGGAAAGACACTGTGGAGGAGGAAACCAGCTGTGACCCTGGCATCCTCATCAGCTTCATTCACGCTCTGAGAGCTCAAACACCAAGCCAAGAGCAACTGACAAAACAGGTTACACAGGAGAAGGGGATTTTTTAATCCGAAAGGTTAGGCATGACAGTGACGAGAATGGACAAAACAGAGAGGAAAAACACACACAAGTACAAGGTGCGCAGTGTTGGCAGCTAGAAGCTAGGAGCACATGCGCACACGGCACAGCAGGCACGGCCGCCTCTCCCAGGCGTTCTTACCTTGTTTCTCTTGAAGTAGGCTCGCCGGCACGCTGCAAAGCACTTCTCACTGCAGAAGCTTTTCACCTCACTTCCCATACTCAGGGAATAGCGCTTGATCCCCACTTTCTGGCACCAGGCACACATTATTTGTACATTTGACACATCATCTTCTATAATAAAAGTATAAGAAAAATGTTCATATCAGAAGCAAACATCCCTTCAAACTTAAGACACACCCTGAGTCTCACATTCATTTCCAGATTTCACCATTTCTGACCCAGAACAGCTAGCTTTGTGAGGGTGGGAAGGTGGCAATGGAATAGGGTTTGCTTTTTGTTTCTTTCTCTCGCGCTAGCACCACCTCTTCTTTTTTTTCCCCCAAGTTTCCAAAAGAGATTTATTTAAATATCAAAGCATGATTGCAGAGGTATGGATGTTTCTGGAGCTTCCTGGCCTAAACAAAGTGCCTAATCCGTCCAGTGAAACTAGCCCCATTACTGATAATGCTTGCAAGAAAAAAAATGGCCTATTTCCTCAAATATCTGCCACAAACCTGCAAGAACTGCACTAGATGGGACCATGTGTAGGGTGTGATGGCCTCGTGTGAACCTTGACAGTCAGGGGCCTGGCTGTACCAAGGCATGTTCCCAATCACTGTGGTTTACCCTTGCAATGTAATGATCCCCAAATGATGTGGCTACTCAAAAAAGGGAAGATGTGAGAGGCCAGATTGTGGACACAGAAAAGGTAAGCCTGGTTCATAGAACAGCATCCTACATTATATCCTCCTGGTGGGCTGCTGCCCTCAGGGAGGTGCAAATCTGCTGTAAAGTTGTCCTTCGTGTGATATGGATCCTGATCTTTGGGTGGAGGTAGGTAGAGAATAGGGCTGTCAGGTCATCCTCAGCCCAATGGACAACTCTCCCAGCTCCTGGAGGAAGCAGCACACCCATGTAACAGAGAGGCTCACAGTGATTTTCAGGTGAAATGCAAATATTTCCATTATTTAAAACGCTGCATTTCATTTCCTTTGTATGAGAAGGGGTGGGGGAAAATGTAACATAATGAGCCCGTTAAGTCATATATATTGCTGCTTAAAACAAACACAGGCTTTCAAAGTGAGTCCCTTAATAGAATGTATTGAGTAAATAATGGCGCAGGTGGGAAGAAGTTACGGCAAAATTTATGATGGCGATAGTCAAATGAATGAAGCTTGGGAAACACTGTGCTCTTTAGGGGAAAATAAAAGGAGATCCCAAGCTAAAGCCCAAGAAATATTTCCCTCCTAAGACCTTCTGCCATATTTTGAGTCTTCTCTATCCGTGTGTGTGTGTGTGTGACTGATTGCCACTATTGGTCGCATCTTCCTCTCTTGTGGAAATTTTTTGGTACTAACTCAGATTCATACACCACACATGAATTGTAATCAAAATTCCCAACATCCTCTGGTACAGTGTTGTCTGATTTTCAATAAAATTCCCCAAACACTAATTGCTAAGCAAGGCCTGGTCCATGGGTTGTTGACATATTCATGGTTCACAGAGTTTGTCATACAATCATTCCATTTCCAGGGAAAAGATTTGGTTTGAGGCAGTACGGTCATCAGCCTGCAAAATTAGAAGCAAACTAATTTGTAGTGCACTGATACGGCTTTTTTTTTTAATTCCCCAAAGCATCATCACTCAGCAACGTGCAACATTTTATTTACCTTAATGGAATAAATATTGTCATTTTAATGACCTATCCTATCTCACAAATTATACATCATGATCTATTGTTAATTAGCCAATGAGACAGCAGAAAAATTATCTTTGATGTTTGTCAAACATCTTCGATAGCAGAACTCTTTAAATGGAGTCATAATATGAATTCAAGTGTCAATTACTGCATTTAATAACATGTTATATACAAAGAAGGTTTTCATTTACATTTTATATGACTTCTATGGCTTCTGTCTACATGTAGATATTTTACATGATTTGAAAAATTAACAGAGCTCTACAATTTCCCTTGGAATGTGGGAACATTTTCTTCAGTTCTATCAGAAATAACAGATTTTAAAAATAATCAACCATCATTACTAAACTAACATTAATAGTTTCTATTTTTCCTAATCAGGAAGACACTCTGAAATCTCAAATTCCTGGAAAAAAAAAAACAACACAGCAGAACTCTCACAAATTATCCTCAGCAGTAAGCTTGAAATCTGTAAGGAAAAAAATTTACGGGGGAAATTATTTGGTTTCGCATTTTAATGAGGACATCCACTCCAGAAAATGTCATCTGAAAACATGCATTCAGTTCCCTTGTTATTTATTCCTTAAAATGGCCTGACTTGGGAAACAAAATATAAGATTTCTTAAGTCTTACATTGCTTTTAAGGAATTCAAACTGAGGTAAGGGAGAGTGGTGGCAAAGTTATTTTGTGTAGGGCCCAACAGAGCAATGACACCTGGGGAAGGAGGCAGCTCCCGGTCTTTCTCTCACTTCATTCCATCCTCACCAAACAGGGCCCAATTGCTTAAAGGGAGTAAGAATGCTTTCTTACAATAGACCTATATAATAAACATAACAGTATAATTTTAAAACAAATCACTTTTATAAACCATTCTTACTACAAAGCAACAGTATGAGAAGATGACATAAGAGCGACGTTCACTTGTGATCTGGAAGCTGGGAAATTCTGAGAATGGCTGAGAATGGTGTCGGCATCTGTCTTGTTTCAATAAATCAGCATTCCCATCCATTTTTTCATAGAATTTTGTTTCACAAAGGCAAACACTTTGGAAAATTTCCACCAGATTTCTCTTTGCTGCCATCAAATTGTTACCAATAACTAAGGATCCAAAGAAGAGTTTGATGAGTGGTTATTCTAAGACTTCAAGAACTATTTCAAGTAGTTTAGGCTTAGAAAGCCATCTATATCAATACTCTATTTAAGAAGCTAAAGAACTATGATGGTATAGATTAATTTGTCACCAAGCTTTGGCTCAAAATCCTGTCAACAAACATGAAATGGAACCCCAATCTTAAACAGCATGGCTATATTCCTAGAAAAATGGTTTCCCCTTAAGTGCTTTGACCCAAAGGAGTTGGTTCATTTCAATCACATCTCTTTATACCTGAATCCTGGTAATTGCATGCATGCTTCCAATAGCAAAGTAGAAGGCCCCAGCACTTTTACCTTTTGGCTTTTAAGTTATCCACTTAAAATTTTTGGATTAAAGAAAAAACTAGGGAAAGCCTAATTTCCTATCTTGTAATTAAGCTGAAACATTTTGCTATTATAGACTTGAGACTGTATCAAAGATTTACAAAATTAATGTTTATATTATATTATCTTACAGCCATCACCTGTGTACTTTTCATAATAAACAATGTAACAATAAACACAAAATATTTATAGCATTAAGTTATATCCCAAAGCAAATAGTTTGCATAATATGATAAAATTTCACATTATAATATCATAGAAATATGTATCAATCAAAATATGCATGTTTAAGTTAATCATGAAAAGTTTATACCACCTCTGTAGGATTTAATTAGGCAAAATGTTTAGGGCATTTTCTTTCCAATCTACTGTTCAAAGAGCTATGAAGTATTTTTTTTTTCTACTTTATATCCCAGAAGGAAATGTTCAGATTAATTACTCTAAGATGAAATTGTATTTACTTAATACAGCACAGACAAGTGTGAGGTCAACCATTTCTGAATGTCTGGCTGAAATTGCTTGAAAAATGATCACATCTGATGATTTCTGAAAATAATAATGACCATTGGTCAGTGATCTTGGGACATCTGAGTTGGAAATAAACACAGAAACACTGGCTTAATTGAATAGATCCCAAGGAAAATCGGGCAGGTTTTAACAGACTCCAAGAGAGTGAATCGTAGTTTTGGATTGACACAACTCAAGAAAAATTCTGAAAGCACTTGCTGGTGATGTTTGCCTCCTCCAAACACTTTTTGGTTGCACTGACCCAGGCAATCATTTAAAGATCTGAATTCTATTTAGACAAGTTGCAAAGCATTCTGAGGGGAGGCCTTTGTGTTCCCCAAGTCTTGAAACAAAAGCATGGCATGAGCCGTACTCCATCAATCTAGACCATGGAACTCCTTTATTTAATAGAATAAAGACCTAGCCTGGAAGGTGGGCAAGAAAACAGAGTTAACATTTGCTTCTTCGCAATCCCTCTATAATTTAGTTGCTTCATGGAACAGTTCAGTCCCAAAGACTTTACACTGGCCCAAGCTAAAAGTCTCTTCAAGTGCTCTACAGTGTCTCTGTAATTCCTTGTTTCTTAGAAGGAAACACACAAAGAGACCCAGGAAAAACTTGGATCATTGGATCAAAAGGGAAATAGCCATATCTAGCCCTGAATCAGGATTCAGTTGGTGCCAGGAACAGAGCATGGTCCATTCAGTAACTCAGCATCTGAATCATCACCACCATGTATTAACATTAACATTATCCCCATTGTGCAAGTGAGACAAATGAACCTGCAGACTAACTCTTTTTCCCCAAATTACACAGTAAGTAATTATTGAAAACTGGATGGAGGCAAGGCCACATAACTGGAGAGCCCATCCTCTTGATCATTACACCTTAGAGACCAAGTGTGTGAGATGAGAGACCACCCACACAGATGATCCTCTACAGCATGGGCTAAACACACTCAAGCAACACATGGTCAGTGATATGCCAAGAGACAAGGAACTTGGTATCAAAAAGGTTAAAATGTCTCTGAGACAGCTGAAGTGCTCATCAATATTCCTTTTGATTTTTTTTTTGTAAACTAAGCTAAAGGCCCATTGTGTAAGCCTTTCTTCCTTAATAACCATGAGACATGCACATGCTGCAAGTCTATCCAAACTTGCACCAATCAGTGCTACTTAAAGACCGAATAATAAGATAGAACCCATAATATTTGCATTTCAGGAAGCTGTTATTCTAGGCATAGTCTAGCAATACTCTTTTCTTTAGGAGGAGGGAAAACAGCAGGACCTGGATAAGCCTGGCTTTCCATGTGATCACCATCTATAACTTCAAGGATGCCAGCAAGAATATCCTGCTTCAAGAAATTATCCATTACTTGCCCACTAACATGAAATTCTACCATCAGAGGGCCATTTCCTTGACTAAACATCTCTTACGTCCCATTAAGAT